TTCTTAAAGTTTATAACAACATTTACTTACTTACGCCGGTTACTCATCATGAAGCATAGGTCACTCATAAACAATATCCAACCATCTAGTTTAACTAGTAATGAAATATAGTAGTTGAATACTACCGTAATTATTTGAAGCATAAACTCAGTGTTAAGTAATAACAATCAATGCTATCCTTTTGTAATCCTAATTACGTCATGACTCCTTGAAATATAACGCTATTCAAATTCACTCTTAAATAAAAAGTTTCAAATGATTAATCAATCGACATTTAAAACTATCCTCAAATGATTTAACTCTTCATAAATTATTTCATCGAATGAATACTCTGTGTCAGTAGTACGTTATTTTTTTAAATTCTCATGTAATTAAATAAATTTACTCTTTGGCGCTCATGCTCTTATTCAAATCATTCTTATATACGTGAATAAAATACAGATATAAAAAATTACATTCTTTATATACAAAGCAAACAGAAATATATACATATTTTAGTGCAATAGACTATTAGTGTCATTTTCATTGTATTATAAATTACAAAACCTCATTTGATGATGTGATCTGGGAAGAATACTCCCAATATTAACCTCTCATAATAATAAGAGATTTTCTTATAAAAAAAATGATACCTCATAAATGATTTTGTCTTACACATACGATAAACATTCACATCTAAAATATTTTTAACATATTCAATGTCATTCATAATTGTTTATCTTGTACCAAAATATTTTAGTGAACTTCCAGATTTTCCACTGTAAGAATAAAAAATTAACTTACTGTATTCTTACTTCAATAATAACTGATCAATTCTTTGCTTGATTTCGCTTGCCATTGTTTAGTGTTAAATGAATTCTATTCGTGCTGAATGAATGTTAAGGAACATGTACCTGCGAACGTAACTGTGATAATTTTATTTTCACTTACTCAACTAACCATTAAAAACAATATAATCTTTAATTTACAACGTTAATAAATCAAAACTACTGTTTTAATAGAGTTTAAAGCACGGTAAAAAAGAACAACATATTGTTGAAGATCTGTTAGGATATTCATCAAATATCTTACAAAGAATCATTTTGGAAGTGTAAATTCTATTGGTCGAATCCTACTGGTCAATATTATGGTCGTCCTGACTATCACTGTCCCTTCAAATGTTTTTTTCTATTGGTCGCCTTAACTGTCAATCTCACAGACTTCGATGCTGTTTCCTACTAAACCTAAATGTATAAATACGCATTATATGTAACATTTTGGCACCCGGACCCGGATCCTCAGTTCGGGACCCGTGTCTTCTTCTGGAATCAAAACTCGTACTTTCTGGATGCTTGTAGAATACACGTTATAATTCATATCAAGTCTTCTTCTCTTATTCAGTGTGGGGTTGGGACACTCGGATTAGAGTATCATGTCGTGTCACCGTATCCTCTCGTATTCCGACTAAGGTAAACTCGTAATAGTTCAAGCATATCAAAATGACATCTTTATGTGCATGCGGACAAGATCATTGAAATGCACTTTTTTTATTCATCCTATATTAAGCTCTTAATTTTCTTTCAAATTCGAACAGTATGATTTCCTGTTGATATCAATCAATCCAATGGTTACATATACACACACACACACACACTTCAACTACATTAAAACATGTATACTCATGTTATCGATTTGTTCATCATCACTCTCAACATTAGTAAAAAGTTAAATGAAGAACAGTGAGTTTATTTAGTAAATTTATTATTTTACATTATATTTTTTTCTTTATCTAATCAAACTGAACAACATTATTCAAGTATGACGTGGAAACAATCAAAGATGATCATTAAAAATGTCAGTCAACTTTCACAATAATTAGAGCAAACCACGAAACAAGTCATTATACTTTATGCTGAAACTTGTAAGATTCCTCAAACTGTCGTTCACTTCAGTAGTATTCCACTTTAGATATGTTTTACATAATAAGAACTTTCAAAACATGCACAATTATTAGTTGTAAGCTCCGCTCAACGTTTTTCTCACTATTTTGGGGCACAGTTTTGGAGGTTTGCGTTTTTACACATTTGAAATCATCAATCAATCATTGTTAGACCACCATTGGAAACCTGGAAGCACTGGACGGCCGTTTCGTCCTGGTATGGGACTCATCAGCAGTGCGCATCCACGACTCTTGCTCCTCGCAGGATTCGAACCCGGGACCTTTGGCATTGTAGGCGAACGCCTTACCATCGGACCACTGGGCCGGCATCCAACGGTGTTAATGTCTAACTCACTACCGAATTTCTATGAATTAAAAACCTATCTTAGTCGATACTTTGATTATTATTCTCTGTGAACTTTAGGCGACCACTTCGTAAACTTTTAGAAATGTAAGTTCATATTAAAAATAAAATACACATATATATACGCATCACCACACATATTTTACGAATAAGTATAGCGACAGAATTCGGAAACCATGACTAAATTAATGTCAACTGAATTGATAATATTTTTCTTTAGTAAACAGGTCATTTAAATCATAAATATCAACCAGACAAGATATTATTTGAAGTGTTTTTTTTCAAGGTAAACAACTCCAGAGAAGATTTCACAGATCACTCAATTGTTGATAGATTGAATTTCTGATTTATTGGATCAAATTAATGTTCTTTAAATTTATTTGTGTTTTAGTCTCAACTCTGGACCAGCGTAAGTTTCGTCTAGTAGAGAATTTATCACTTTGAAAGCTTTTTCTCTATTGACAAAGTCGAAAAATTGAAATTTATTAAAATACGTTAAATTATCATGATACCTTGATATGCTTTTGTCGATAGAATTGAAGAGCTTTTGTGCGAAAAATAAAATCTTCTAAACAAATATTATTGATCGCTTGGTAAAAAAAAAAATAAAACCCACATAGAGTACCGTTCAATTTTCATCGGTATGTTGGAAGATATAAGTATATTAATCAAACAAAACAGAAAATTTACGTCGTGGGATAATTCAGCGTACTCTAAATGGTCATGACTGGACAACACTCTAGACAACAAAAGCTAAATTTGGTGATTTATTAAACGACATACAGTAAGAAATGAATTTTTAACTTTACAGCTTGAAAAATGAAATCTTTAATAAATCATTCTTACTTTGTGAATTTATGAACACGGTTAATATATTATTTCAACTGGTATATCATAGTAGCTAGATAGATTTGTCGGATAATTTAACACTCACCTATGAACTTCTAAGAAAACATTACATTTTTCATTATCTTCATCGTGAATGATTATTTTAGCTAATAATCAATAAATTCATTGATTTCCAATCACTTTCGATGTGAATATGACGATAATGATAATTCTTTGTTTTTTAAAACAACATAGTTTACCTATGCCGTTAGTGAGGTAAGTGGAATTTATTTCATTGTGATTACAATGTGAATTTATGCATTGGTTCCCTGACATGTAGAAATAGTATAGGCTTTAAAAAATATATTAACTGGCATCAAACTATAGCTGTTGGGGACGTTCGATCCCCAGAACTTACTTTTAAAGTGTCCTAGTTTTGGATTTTTTTTATGTTTTCGCGCATAAATCGCTCAGGTGACCTTGAGCTAACATTTTCCACTCGGAAAATCCTTGACCGTCATTGGTTGATGGGTTATTTTAATACGCTATTTTGTGGCTCTCCCAGGGACATTGCTATCATTATATAAGTAAGCTTGGTTTGTGCGCTTAGCAACCTCATATTTTCTGGGTGCCTGTAGAATACACTTTCTACGCCATATCAAGACTTCTTGATATAGTTAGCCGGGCCGGGGACAAACGGATTAGAATAGCCTATCGTGTCACTACATCATTTGTCTTCGCTCTGTTACCGAGTAAGGTGAACTCGTAATAGTTTCAAGCATATGAATTGATAAGCATGTCAAAAGCCCTAAAATGTGATTTTCGCTCTTTTTTTCCTAAAATGAATTCCTCACGTCAAGCCCAATATACTACTTGTTTGAGTAAGTTGTATTTTAATATCTATTCAATAATTATCACGATTGATATTTTAGACTGAATATGTATCAAACTATTCTTTTCATATTGATTGATTGAGAAACTCATTGCAATCAAAATAAATTATTGTCAACTTAAAAATAGAAGTTACTTTTTCTATTAATTATTTAAATGAATCGGGGTTTATGTCATTTAGACATGAAAATGATGATTTCAGAGCGGAAAATTATACAATGTTATTCAGAAATTTTGTAGACAAATCCGGTATACACTTTCTGTGTTGACAATATAATACTAAACAGTGATATATACGTCTTTGGTTTTAAGTTCACTGAATGAATTCATTCTTAAAATACTCATGTGTATTGTATTTACTCTGTTTTGGATTATTATCCAATGAGCTGTATAACATTATCTTTAGTACAAAGAATGACCAACACTGATAATTTTCCAATAAATAAATGAGTCATTGATTACTTGGCACACTAATACACTACATCTTGAGTGTTTTTTAGTACCAAATTAGTCACGAAATAATAAATTTTTATTTAACTACGGTATTTTTAATTGTGGTAACTAATACTCAAGAGTAAACATTATCTATTAGGTAAATAGTTGCCCAAATGAATTCCACTAATGGTCATTTTAAAAATCCTTATATCTTTGGAAAAATAATAATCTCGGGGACAAACAAGAGCCTGTAGTGCAACGCTTCTACGAAGAAAATACGATTTGTGAAAAATAAACATTATTGTACTCGTTTTGTTTAACTGTACCAAAAACACTTCTTCCACTTCTAGCGCGCAACGTTCTCTTCACGTTGCTGCCATTTTTCTAAATGCCCTGCTCCCTATGTAATGCCAACGTTCTCCTTCAATAAAATACTCAACTATGGATTTATTTTGTCTTAAAGCCGGGACCGTACGGAACATTTTGTGGTGAGCATAGTAAATCTGGTATCTTGACTCGCTCACTACAAGCCAATATGTTCAAATAAGGATCTTGACTTATTACTTTTGGCTGTGAATGATCAAAAACGAATTCCAAGTATTAAAATGTTTTTTTAGCACTTAACTAGACTAAATTTTAACCAAATCACCATGTTACGCTATATATAAATTGCATACTCGTAACAATAAAATCAATTGAAGTAGATAATTTGCTAATAGGCTATGGTAGTTTTTTTTTCAAGTAAATAAACTGTCCAGTATATTTTCTCAAAACAATAAATCTATTGCTAGTAAATTATCAATTTACATTAATTTTTAAGAGTTATCATAAGAACTATAAAATGTAAGTTGAAAAGATTTCGGTTTGATTTGCTTAACATTTCACTTTATACAGTTTGATGGTATAAAATGACAACTATATGAACAACATTTATACTATTATTATTATGTAATAGATAACTACTTGTTACGTACAATCAACCAAAGCATATGATAATTAAAGACATGTATTTTCAGAAAGAACAATTACAATTCCCTTAAGGATAATTTATCTAACATTCATCAAAATTGTATTTCTATTTTTAGCACTTTAAATTCTACAAGACGAAAATGTAGCCAAACGGTATCATAAAATATACATTGGATCTTTAAAATGAAACAATATTTTGTGATATGTAATTTTTCAAACAACACTAATTATGCTTAAAAAAATATTTGCAAGTTAGGAAATCAAAATCAGTTTTGTAATCAGAAATAGTATAAAAAACAAAGATATTTGATGTTTCAACGACCAAAGTTTCATGTTTACTACTCCTTCAAATATTCTTGAAAATTTTAACAACATAACAAAATTTGATAAGATACTGAGCTAATAGTGATCAGAATGGAATCTTTTTCTTGAAATTAACTTCATCAACAAAATAATTAAGTATATTGAGCTTTAAAACAATTTTTCTCAAATATCAAGCAAGAACATGAGGTTTTCGGAAATATAATGATTCCTGATGCTATCAATAAATGAAAAATTATCCTGAACATAATATTTAGATACTTACTTTTTAAGTGATTTTATCCACTAATGATCTTTAGAAAGTTCGTGGTAAGCTGACTTGAAGTTTATCCTACACCCATAGACATACTTTGTCCTCCAGGTCTTTCGGTTTTAGTAGACAGAACGAAACAAAACATGATAGATTGGGTTTAACTGCAATATATATTAGATAAAATATTTAGGTTACTTCAAAATGTTTTGTATTATATGAGAAACAAACCCAGGCTGGCTAATCTCTTTTTAAACGAGCATGTAGTAAATTCATGGGTCATCGCGTTCTCTGTTTGAACAATGTTTTTGTAAAAAATATGAATACTTATATGTTTGTAAAACGGTTTCTCTCTCACTTACACTTGGCTCCTGACTTTACCTACACTGTTAGATGAAATCCCCTCATTTTCACGTTAGTTTCTTTCACTGCTCGAAAAACAGTGGATTAGCATTGTGATTGCTTTCAAAGTACTGAGGAGATATTTCAAAAAGTATGTTCTTGTAACCAGATTGCTTCTTACAGTTACTTTGAAATTATTCCAAGAAGCAACTGCTTTCTTTAGATAGAGGCTAGCTGGTTTTATACACTGTTCTCGTTCTGGTTTAAGAAATATTGAAAGTAACAGTAGATGACCACTGTGAAACAATAAGAGATTTCATTCAGTATGCTATCCTACACAACGCACCTCAGGTTAATCACATATCTGAAAAGAAGAGATCACTTGTAAACGCACCGGACACTTGCTACAGACAAAAAGGAGAGTTCAGAGCAAATTGAAATTCTCCCTGAAGGATTTTGATCGTAGTCCTTACTTTGCATTGAGAACATATGATGGTAATAATATAAAAATTTTATTATCAAATAATAGTCCTCTACATTTGGGACGCCAGTTTACAGGCAAGATTAAATCATCACATTTACTGTAATAATTTGCCCAGCCGAAGTGATATTTCACATGACAAACTAGCAGAAGACATACAGGGCAAATGTTTTCCACACGACACTGTAAATAATGTTTAAGAGACTGGAATGTACAATACAGTAGCTGGTGTGAATTATATCGGTTGAGTTGCGACGAATGACTGATGGTGGAGAATTACTTGGATTTAAGTCCGCTATGTAACAAGAATTGGTAAGAAAATTTTTATTGATCATCATGATGACATTCTCTAGATAACAATTAAACAGGATCTCGGTAAAAACAATTGTAATTCTCCGGTAAATTTGGTATTATTATTATATAAGGCATAGGAGGAAGTGAGATGTTCTGTATATGCTTTCGTAAGTGTATCACGACGGTGTGAAAAGAAAGGAAGGAAGGAGGAGAGAAACAGAAAAGAGTTGAGTTATGATTCAACAAATGTATTTGTGGTTAAAACATAAGGATATGATTACCTGGAATTTTCTTTCTCTTTATTATATCACTTATTGCACAATCGCACTTATACGGAGATATGAAAACAGGTAACTAGTATGACAACGAATGAATAAATAACTGTATAAATAGAAAAGATTCGTAAGGACTGATATGATAGTGATTATGTAGATCTAAAGAATGTTGTAGGGAAGGAGCAGTTTTTTGAAGCATGGGTGATATTTCATTTATATTTGATTTTTTTATTACCTTCACTCTTATGAACTGACGAATGAACTCCTTCTTAACGTGACTGCTCTTGGCAACTCATAATATGATTTCATTGTAGGGAGTGAAACTAGCTCAAGGTTTCAAATATGAGTCAAAGAGGTAGTCGGCATGGAAAGTAACATCAGGGTCAGTAATTAGTTACTTGCTGCTAGAGTGTAAAGAGCCATAAGCATTCAGATTTTTCTGCTCACACACTTCGATGGAGTGAGATTACCGCCTTAGCACCATACTTCCTGATCAGACACATCACTCTCCCTCCTGTTGTGATGTTAGGCCCTCTTACGTTTGTGGTATGTTTTATTATTGCTTCAGTCTTAGCACTAATCTCCACATCTTGTCAGAATACATCATCTCTAGTGGCCTCATATTACATTCAAATAAGACAGCTTAAGATACTGTATAGTGAGTTATATTTCCATTTACAATATCACATTGTTATTGAGCTAACTAATGTTAGAAATTGTAAGTTGCATGTCAGTTAACAAGTAGTTTGGAGATTGCATCAAAAGACACACAGATGATCAAATAATATATGAAAGGAAAATAGTCTTGTGTTGAGAATGAATTAGTTAGGAGATAAGTAACTAAGGTAGAGGAACATTTGGATGCTCATAAATCAGAAATATTAGAATATCTTAAACTGCTAACACATAGACAATAGGGAACTCTCAATGACTCCAAATAGTTTGAGTTTTTTGTGATCGACAAGAGTTGAGCAGCATCTACGGGTTGAGTAATTTATCTACTGACTCGAGAAAGAAACTGAGTGCTGTGAAACGTTATGCGAGAAAATTATGTGACATAAAATATTGAGGAAATTACGAATGTTAGAGGCAGTAGAGAAAAAACGTTACCCACTACTATCATTGGGAGAAGGAGGATCATATGTTTTATCATTTGATTATAGTTGCATGAATGACAATGAGAGGGCAATAATATAATGTTGATAACATATTCACAGTCGCTTATCAGTTTCTAAGATAAGTCTGGATATTAGATGAACTACAAAAATGTGCTTCGTGACTAGTCAGGAGTTCTGGAAATAACTGAGAAATCTTTCTGGAGTCTAACAACAATGCTACTTGTTCTTTGATTTAGTGATGGCGTCACAGTTACGCATAGGTATAAGCAGTCTATTTCACAACAAACGGTACGACGCAATGAATTTTTATGTTTTGCATTTAGCAGTGCATATGTGTTGATTCTTAGTCTGTGGACAGGGTTGTGGCCGATAATTGGGAGGGAGGTCAAAAATGAAGGGTCACATTTTACTTTGTAGAAAAACATATTATGTTGTTCTTCAGCATCATAAAGATTTTTGTATCTGTCTCTGAAGTCGAGAGTAAGTCACATCCCATCAGTTAAGGTGTGAAGCTTCCTTTGACATTCGTATCTCGTCTGTAGTATTCATTACTGAAAAGATGAATTGAAGGGCGGGTGTTAACTACATTTTGAAGAGGATAGGTTTAGCCATCGGGAAAGAGATCATGGGATAGGTTATTCATAGTACGCTAGCCACAGACATAAAAGAGAGCCTGGCATGAGTGTAAATTCTCTCTGTTGAATTCTGACATGGTACTAAGAAACAGATGCAACCCCAAAATTCAAAGCGACAAGAATTTACAGAAGAAGCTAGCAGCATAACTACAATCTAACCATGAATTTCTCTACAGAATCATCACTCAATAAAATCAATTGACTAAAGTGTTCGTTCGCATTTGCTTGAATATGACAACAATCTTACTTACTTAATATTCTAGAAATGGTAGAAATCTTTATTGCTCATTTCACTGATCAATCAAACAAGCAACCTTGCTTTAATATACTTGGGACTGTTCCCCGCAATGTAACATAGGCCGCCCACTAGTATTCTCCAACCTATTCACTGATCGAACTTACAGATACGGAAAGCACTTAGACTTTGGTGACACCAGACGGCCTGAGAACTTTCCATCTATTACTGAATAAATTAAATTACCGGAGCCGTGAGATGTCACCAGGGTGATGCAACGCTTCCACCATGCAGCGCTAAAAATTCATCAGTTCACCTGTATATGAACTGTTCCAGCACTCAGCAGAGTTACAGTACTATTTAAAATGTGTAAGCGAGCTGTTCTCCTCGTTTCTTAAAAACGGGAGATAGGAATAGCCTGACTTGCTAAAGACCAGAAGGAACCGGTTCATGCACTACCCTTTGACTTACTGAATGCTTCGGATACAGTATCTCACAGCAACCAATTACCAACTTTGCTCCCAAACTGCCTGGAGAATCAGACTTCCTGCACCAGCGGACATAGAGTACTCGTAGGCTGGAAGATCAGAACATCAAAATTTTTACAAGAAACCACCCCTTTTCAAATACTTTTCCTCAGTTCTAATGGACCTTACAATAGGTAAATGTGCAGTGGACACTGACACTGTAGATCATTTTTGCTGAGCGATAGTACGATACACAGGAATCTCTCTATGACACAAAACATAGTGAGCACCTCAAGTTACCACGCTACTAATTTCTCTCATTAAGAATTGCTCGCGCTAGGAGTGCTAGATTAGTTGAATCGATCGCAGTTCATTTATTTAATAGCTTTAACTGCAGATATGACAGACCCACATTCATCCATGGAATCTTGCCTTCCGTTTGGCCTAGCTGTATCTGATCCATATCTCGGAATTTACCAACTGTTATCATTATCACATCATTCCAATCTAGCCTATTATCATCTCCGTTTCCCTTCGTATTCCGATACTAAGGTTAGCTCTTACTCTCTGCACTACTAGCTTATTTATTTATTGACATAATCATTGGGTTCTAGAAACATCCTTCTCCTTTTACCATCGGTGTTTCACATCGCAAGCCACTGACTTCCTACCTCGTAATGTGATAGCTATTGTTATCTGGCAACTC